TATTAACCAGTATAATAACTAACCTAAATAATAATAATAAGATATAATAATAGTAATAGTAACAAAAAGATAATAGAAAATAGTAAGAATAGTAAGAAATAGATAATAAAGTATAATAAATATAATATAGGAAAAGAAAAGAAGAAAAAAAGAGTTATTACTTGAAAATATAAACAAAAACTTAAATATATAATTTAATATATCTTTATTTACTAATTAACTATATAATCTCTTTATTACTTTAATAGTAAGGTAAACGAAAACCCTATAAAAAGATATCGCGTTAACGCGTCTATATTATAATAATAAAATAAACGCGTTAGTTAAGGCTACCTAATCTTAAGAGAGGGGATAATTATAAAAGGTCTACTAAAATAGTAAAGTATAAAATTATTCCTAACTAACAGAAGGGGTGAATTAGGTAATATTATATAATCCTAAAGGAAGTCAGGGTATTGATAGGGGCACCCCAAAATTTTCGCTATTGGCACCCCAAAAAAGATTACATAAATTTTTTCTTATGTAATCTTTTTTTCTCCCACTTCCATCACCATAGCAACCATATACTACATATATACTCTATCTTCTGCTTTATCTCTTTTTCTGCTCTACTATTACCCTGCTAGTTCCTAGCTTTCTGCCTACCTCGCTTACTTCGTCTACTATACCATGCAAACCACGCAAACCAACCCCACTATGCCTACCCCCGCCAACCCTGCTGCCGCTACCCCCGATTTGCCTACAATTCTGCATACCAATTCGCCTGATTCGCCTGCCTTGCCTGCTATTCTACGTTCTGATTCGCTCAATTCGCCTACCGCTACGCCTGTCCCTGTTACTACTGATTCGCCCGGTCTACTACCCCCACCACAACAAACCTTCCCTAATCGGGATGAATTGGTTGATTTCGTGCGCTAGTGGGGTATAACGCAGGGGTATGCTACTACTATCAAGCGGTCTAACCTAAATCGGAATATCTATATATACTGCGATAGATCTGGGGTATATTCAGACCGAATATAGGCACCTACTAGCGCTAAACGGCGCTAAACGAGTACGAGGCGACAAAATTGCCCTTTTTGGGTATATAGGAGTCGCTAGAAGGGTTCTGATTGGCTACTTCGGGTGAAAACCCCTACGTATAATTATTCTGCTAATCTAGATATAATAGCGTATCTAATTGTACGTCAATTTACCTAAGCGTAGAAAACCTTAATTTAATAACTCTCTGCTATTAGACTGAAGTATATTATTGGTGCGCTATATAGCGAGTCCCCTTATTAACGAATCATACCACGCGATGTCTATAATATACGAGTAGAAATTCGATGAAAAGAGATAGGAGAACGTAGTATTCTTGAATATCTATAGATACTACTCGATTCAGAAGGTTATAAATATTTATTCAAGTAAGATAATATAGGGTATATCGAATTTTTTCTTTTCTCTCATCCTTAGTCAATTTAATTGGCTAATTCATATAATAAGGTATTTATCTCATCTATTTTTATATGATTTTATTAGCTAATATTTTAAGGTTTTTATTATAGATTGCATATATAAGACTAATCGGTTTAGTATGCCTCTATTTTATATAGTAGATATAACGCTATTAAATCATATATTTACTGCAGCTCTATATTTTATGCCTAATAAGGTTGAAATAAGCTATATTTAGGTGCTTCAGACCTTTTTTGATTAGCTAAATCTCTTATCTGAATCTGATTTTCGTCCGATTTTGGTAACTGATCGCGAATTAGCTTTGATAAATGCGATATATAGTATCTAGGGGTATTATACCCTATATTTACTATACATTTAGTATATTAATAAAGTAGTTTTAGCGAGGGCAAAACGAGATATTAGCCAATTAGACGAAAATACTCCCTAATTCGATGAATTTATGCGTGTATAGTGTTAATTGGTCTAATTATCTACCGAAGATGAATATAAGGTTAATCTTGATAATCTTAATCGGACCTATAGGAGATCTTATCCACTAATTATACGCTATCTCGTAGATATATAGCTACCCTATAAAGAGAGATTTATCTATGCTTAGACCAAAAACCTTACCTATTTTGGTAATAATGTATCATCACGTATCGAGGGGGCGTATTCGGTCCTAAAACGGCATATAAATACTTCTACTAATGATTTACTCACTGTGTGGAAGTCTATTCATAAGGCTATCAGCAGCCAATATAATCTGATTAAATATCAGATCAAAGTAGATCAGATAACATATCTGATACTAGCATCTGATTGGCTATATACCTTTCTCAATAAGCGAGTATCTCGATATTCGCTGAGGCAGATTGATATGTAGCGAATCTATACTAGTAAGGCTACCCTAGAGGCCCCTCTTGGTATATACACTAATTATTGGACGAGTACTATAGGGTTACTATGCAAGTATCGAATTGCTGATTTGCTCGTAAAAAAAGAAGCAATCCCATTAGCTGATATTCATCCATTCTGGCGAATTAGGGTTGAAGATTCATCTGATATCGCCTGGCAGCCACTGCTAAATCCCCGAATTCAGCCTGCTGCTTTCCCAAAAAGGCAATCTACGCAGATATCAGATAGGAGCGAGGGGGCTAGACCAATCAAAAAAAGGAAGGCCCCCCAAAGTGTTCGAATTGCGGCGAAATTGGGCATACATGTCGAAGTTGCCCTATTGCCAAATAGGGTAATCTGTTTTTGGTGGTTAGGATAAGAGGATCATGTGATTAGAAAATAGATCAAAAAAGATTACATAAGCCAAAAACTATTATATAAGCGTTTTGGGGTGCCAATAGCGAAAATTTTGGGGTGCCCCTATCAATACCCAGAAGTCAGAGCTTATTACTTAATCCACCCTATAGTAGAATAATCACAATATATAATAGGGATCTAGTCGTTTATATTATCGATAATATATGGAGTTACGAAGATGCTATATAATAAATTAATACTCCCGTATCTAGCTAGCAAGACAAGATTCAGTCTTAATAGTAATAAAGATATACTGTTTCTCTTACTCTCTCCCCTTGTTTCTTTACCTGATCGATAGGCCTTATACCCTAACAAGTATATTCTTTACAAGAGTGGATTAAGTAACGAGTTCTAACTTCCTTCAGGATCATATAATATCACCTGATCCACCCCTTCCGTTAGTTAGGAATAACCTCATGCCTTACCATCTTGGTAGACCCTTTATATTTACATCATCGATAATATATGGAGCTACGAAGATGTTGTACAATAAATTAATACTCTCGCATCCAGCTGGCAAGACAAGATTCAGTCTTGACAGTAATAAAGATATACTGCTTTCCTTTACTCCTTCTCCTTGTTTCTTTACCTGATCGATAGGTTTTCTACCCTATCAAGTATAGCTTATATATTAGGAAAGTTTTTTTTAAGAGTATTAAGATAAGAGTTTATAATATAACTTTACTAAAATATGTTTCTATTATAATTTATAATTATTATTTGTATTTAGCTACTAATCTAGATTCTAGCCTAAACTATCTACGAAATGTCTTCACTATAATCTAAAAGGGTTATAAGATCGCTTTAGTATAATTTGGAGGTAAATCAGAAGATAAATTAAATCTTAGATTTTAATATTCTTTAGACCTAATAATCTAAAAATTACGTCTATTCGTGATAAAAATATGTCTTTTTTATATAAATAATGTTAAAAATAGTATTTACTTTTTATTTTTCCATTTTCAAAGTCTATATCTCTTTAAAATATATTAAATTATTATTCGACTAAATAAATAAAAGATATTCGTTTTAAGGGCTATATGGTTTATATAAAGGTTCCGATAAGCTATTCGATAAATATATTGAATAGTCAATTTATTTAATCTTGGGGGTTTACTACTTTAGGGATTAGATTTAAAAGTATAATATTACTAAAAATAATTATAAGTAACGTAAATTATACTACGATTAATGTGTAAATCGCAAGCGATTTTAGTAGGACTTATACTATTTTCGATAGCAAAAATAATAGTAACGTAAATAGATTCTAATAATTCAGTATTTAGCCTAAAATTTCCACTAACTTATTGCGGAGCGTAGCGGAGCACTTTAAATAACCATCCTGGGTCACCTGACCGTTGTCTCTTTAACCCAGGGGTAGGCTCAATGTATTTCATGTGACTTACGCTGAATTCTAGCGCTCTGATTGGCCAAATCGAATCATAATCAGTGACTTTTGTAGCCCTATGCCCTACACAAACCAGTTTTGGGTATAGCCAAAATCTCGAAGACTGTTCACGTGATGAATCATGTGATATGAATCGTGACTACCCCTTTACTAATTTCAGTATTTAGCCTACAATTTCCACTAACTTATATAATGAAATATTTTACATTCGTTGTAGTAGAGAGAAAAGTAAAAAGGGATTAGAATATAGAGTTTACTAAATTAGGGTGGTATCGGCAGACTTATAAGCAATAAGAGGGGTCTAACCTTGATCCCTTAAGTCAGTCCTCAGAGGTAAAATAAGCCTAGGGGAAAGACTTCAGGCTTCACTCCTGGCTTTGTACTGTCAGTTTATAGCTGGACCCTTGAGTTGACCACGCGGAATCCTTTAACGCCCCATGCAATCCTTTACTTATCCTTCTAGGTGTTCAGTGACGCTAGAATCCTGGATCCCTTGTAGTTTATAATCCTTGTGGAAAACTGCCTATCTTGGAATAGTGCATTCTACAATCTTTGTGGTATAAATTTATCTACATGAATCCATGGCGCTCTCAGGGATTCCTCTATATTGTCACCTTCTTTTTGATACATAAACACCTCTCATCAGCGCTGTGAATGAGTTTTCGCAGTTTCCGAATACTCATAAACAGCTCAATTTTGCATAATGGCTATCAAACCTGGTTGTCTCGTTCTTATATTAGTATTGACGCTCTGTAAGCTGCCATTTTGCGTTCTAATGGATAGACACCATAGGAGTAACAGCCACTAATTGATAATGCTTCAAACAGTCTCTTCAATGCTACTCGCGGAATCCACAGCTTTAACTCAAAGGGCTTTCACTGGAGGGAAACCCCGAGGTTGGATCAATGCGCATGCCAGAGGGGTAGCTCACAAGCGGGTTATGAAAAGTAAACATGACACGACACCTGGACCATCAAATAAGTCGCCATACTGGAACTTCGCTATAACAGAATTCGAAGACTGTGAAGAAATGGACGAAGAATGGTTTGGAAGCCCCGGACCAGCCAACCCGGGATTGATTGGCGGCCAGCGACTTGACTGCGAGGCACGGTTTGCAGACGCCCCCAAAGATGTGTCATACAGCTTCCACATCACCTCTGATGTCCGAATGATATTTGACAACTTCTGTTCGGCAAAAGGGGATGATGGGAGGCCTTACTGGATTGCTGCTATGAGGGAATGGAATAGTGCTCTCACGAAAATACCCAGGGATCGACGCCACAAGTATTATCTCAGCTACTACTACAAGGAAGTCTGTAGTACGCTTGATCAGGGAATTATGGACTACGAACTCGCCTCAGCCTCTCGTTCCCCAAATGAGTGGGTCGTGTATAACCGGAAAAGTTTGGTTTTTGACACACTCCTCGGTTTGGATGCTTCCATTGTGGTTTTCCACTTCTGGTATCGAAACAACGATGCTGTCCCAGGGCCTGTCAGAAACATTGGTATGAAAGTGGTGAACGAGAATGGGAAAAATGTTAGGTATCTGATACGGTATATGTTTGTTAAATAAGGCCTTAACCGAATGATTCATGACGGGTGAGCGTTTGGGGATCCGCCTCGTTCGTTAATACAGACAGAGAATCTTCGCTGAGAAATCAACTTCTGATGAACGAAGGATGAAGGGGAGCAAGACATAGGCCAATAATCTTAAGGGTGTGCCCAGGGGCGGGACGATGAATGCTACATAGCTATTTCCACAGTCGACGTTGTAAATTTCAAATTACAAATTTCGCGAACCTGTCCGTCGGCGCTGTGATAGGTTAGGAGCTAGGGGGAGATTATAAAGGGTCTATAGAGATAGTGAGGCATGAAGCTATTTGTTACGGGACCTTCGTACGAAGTCCTATATATGAAAGAAGCTCGACCTAAAGGCCTCGCTAGCAGAAACTGACCACCCTTCTAGCGAAATCCTAATCCTTATATAAAACCTCTTTTCTTTATATCTCTTAACGAATCCTTCTTGTATCTAGGACATATTATTAATTGATATAATTTAGTACAGTCCCTTAATATTAGGATTCGTTCTCTTTTCCCTTAACTAGATAGTACCTATTAGTTATATAATAAATAATGCTAGTAAGAATTTATAATAACTATAATTAGTATATCCTAATATTAAAATGTATAATAGAAATAATCTAAGTATTTATGTAATATTCTATACGAAACTTAGAATTAAACTTAAGATAGATTAATAGTATTTTTATACTAAAAAATAAAGATTTACGATATTTTTTTGTAAATTCTAAGACTAGGCTAGTTAATAGATCTATCTATAGATCGAAATAATAGTAATAATAATCTAGTTAGTATTACTTCAAGATTTTTACTATATTATGGATTAATAGTTTATAGATATAGAATAGAAATAAAGGGCTTTTATATAAATTAATATAATTAAATAAAAAAAGAAGGAACTATTTAGTACCTCTTTAGACCTTATATTACTAGTTATTTAATAAATAAATAAACTAGAAGTCTATTTTTATTAAAATTATCTAACTTAAAATCTAGATCGTCTCTCTCTATATAAGCTCTAACTAAAGTCAAAAGAAAATAAAATAGTTTGATATATAAGAGTTATAAAAATATTATATAATAAAAGTCTATCTATAATATAAAAAAGGGATATTAGATTATTTTATATATACTAAAACTAACTATTTATTTAATTTACATGATTATAATTACATTAAAGAGGGATATAAATACTGAAAAAATAAAATAGAATTAAGAAAAGAGTAAAATTTATATAAAAATATATATAAAAAAATAAAAGAACTTTAAATAAATTAAACTAAGATTAAAAAGGATTTAAAATATTATATATAGACTCTTTTTTTATTGGTTTTATAAATCCTATAATAATATATTATAATCTAAATCTTAATTATAGCTGTTTTTTGTATAATATAATTAGCCAAAAATTTATTTAGGAATAGAATCTTTCTATCTTTAATATATTTTTTAGAGCCCTAAAAAGAATTAAAAGAAACTAATCTTTTAAAATTATATAATCCTTATTAAAGATGAGAGGGTATTTTAAATAGTTTATCTTCCTCTAGATAATCCCTAATAATCTTAGATATAATCTTATCTCTAGATTATTATAGTTTATTTAGAATAATATAGAATTACAAGCGTATCAAAGATATCTTTATCTTTAGTCTTTAAGAATATATATATATATAAAAGATTATTAAGCTATTTCTAGATTTAGAGATATCTTTAATCTCTATAAAAAGGATAAAAATAAATATTTAATAGAAAAGAATGGACCTTTTATACCCTATTAAGCTATTTATAGTATTAATAATAAAAATTATAAAGGCCTTGAAAATTAAAAAGAAGATTAATTACTATATAAAACTATTATTATAATATATATGGTTCTTCTCTTTATTTAATCCTAAAAAAGTAAATAAGCTTCTATTTTATTAAAAAGCTAATATTAACTACTAAATTAAACTTATATAACAGAATAGAAAAGAACACCTGATATGTTAAACCCTTTTTTATAATATATTAAGTAAGAAACTACTAATACTGCAGACTTTTACTAAACTTTCAGGTAAAACTTTATCTAGATAAATTATTTATTAGTATTAATATTAGTAATATTTATATAAAAACTAAGAGAAGGCCTCTAATTCGATATTAATTACTATATATTTAACGCGATTATAAAAAAGATCGATACTTTACATCTCTAATAAAACGATAAACTAAATTAGAAAAATAAAATAGTTTATAAAACTTTAATTTGTCCATAGTTTTCTGTAAGATTTAGATTATAAAAAAAGAAAAGTAGAAAATAAGTTTTTATATAAGATATAGTCTTTATAAATAGTTATTATATTATTTAGTCTTATAAATGCGTTAAGTATCTTCTAAAAGTATATTAATAATATATTCCGCGAATTCTTAAATAACTTCTATTCAATCTATTTTAATAATATATCCAATTTATATTAATAGTAACCTTAAAGCTTATTAGAATATATAAAGTGTCCTCGCGAAACTCTAGAAAATAAAACTATAATCTAATATTAGTAAATATAGCTTCGAGCATACTAAGACTAAGTATTTTGGGTTTATTATATAAATAGATAAGGGAATCTAGATAGATCTAAAGAAAGTAGAAATAATTAAAAAATAGGAGGCTTTATATAATTAATATAAAAAGTTTTAGGAGTTATCTTAGATGTATAAATTTCTATTATTAATTTATCGAAGTATATTTAGAGATTATATAACTTTTTATAGATCTTATATAAAAAAAGAAATAGTTTAATTAATCTAAAGTTAGAATATATATTTTTAAAGGTTTAAGCGACTATTTATAATTAATCTAATTTTTTATATATTTTATTTTTATATTTATTTTTTTAGAAAGAATATTTTAGTAATTAAATTATAAGATCTATAATAAAGAATTTTTAGATATTATATAATATTTTAAGATCTAGTATATTAAGCTCTGTTTAGTCTAAAATATATTTATAGTAATTATTAATTATAAAAATCTTACATACTTTTTAATTTAAAAATTTATAGAATACTATATATTATAATCTCCTTTTTAGCTAATTTAATTTTACTTTTTAATATTAGAAAGAGATTAAGAACTCTTAATTAAATATATTATCGCGATAAGAATAGAATAATATAAGTAAAGATAATCCTTAAATAACTATTTATATAATTTATCTCTTTTATTTAATAGAGAATAGCGTTATAGTTAATATTAGATATTGAAAGATAATATTAAATTAATAGACTAACGTATATAATTAAAATAATATATATAGTAAATAAGGTTATATAAATAATTTAGGAGGGTAAATAGATATTCTCTCTTTATTTATTATTTTTAGGTCTTAATAGTAGAATATATTATTAATATAAAAAGGTTTATCTTATTCTAGAATAGATAATAAATATCTTAGTATCTTTTTATCTTTTTATCTAAGCCTAAATTAGATAGTTTATAACTTTTTATTATTAATTATTCTAAGAGAGAAGAAATTTATACTATAATTAGCTAAAAGTTCTTCTAGCTAAGGATATTATAATATATTAAAAGATTTATACAAAACTATAATTTATATAGGAAAAATAAACTTTAATATAAAATAAGGAAAGGCTTTTTAAATTACTATTAATTCCTAAATAATCCTAATATAATATTATAATAAATTTTATTATAAATTTTTTAGTAAATAATATATTTACGAATAACCGAATAGTTATTTGCTAGTTTATAAAACAGTTAATCTTTAAAGCGATAAAAAATATTATTATAGAATTAATAGCCTAAATAGTTATTTAATATTTTATATAATAATAAGATTCTTAATCTTAATTATAGTAGATTATAAAAGATAATTTATAGATATTTAATAGGCCTATCTTTATTAATTATACTAGATTATATAATAACTCTCGACTATATATTATCTAGAAACTAATAAATATAAAATAAATAGTATAATAGTATGATAGAGATTTATCTATATCTTTTTATATAATATAAATAGGATTACTAGATATAACTTCTTCTAATAACTAAATTTATATTAAATAGCTAAATCTTTATTATAATTAGGTTTAGCCTCTTTTTTTTTATAAATATTACTATTTACTATTTTAATTAATATTAAACCCTATAAACAATAAAAAAAGATATAAAACCTAATCTAGAAGGTAGAAATAATTATATAAAAACTTATAGATGTAAATAACTATCCATAAATATTAATAATATATATAAACTAAATTATAGAAATAAATATAAATAGATACTATAACTCTATATCTAAATATTGTTTTAGTAATTTTATATAGCTCTATTTTAAGAATATCTTAAAATAAAAACTATATAATCTATAACTCTTAATAAAATACTAAAAAGCATATGATTAATAAGATCCTCGATAAATACTAATATTAAAGGTCTCTGTCTTTATATAATATATATAATAAAGTATATAGGCTAGATTAAACTAACTAAAGAACTCGCGAATATATTAGAGAATACTATTACTCTTAATAACTAGTTTTAGAAAACTCGATAATTCTAATAATCTAATAGTTTATTAGTATTACGGATATTTTATGATAGTCTTACTCCTAAAAAGACTAAAGATATAATAAGACCCTATTAATATACTATCTTAAAACCGCTAGAATAAAAGAAGTTCTTCAGAAAAATTATTATAAGATATAACGTAAATATTATATAATTTAATAGATTAATAATTCATATAAATGGACTAAAACTATATAAAAAAAGGAAAACTATAGTTCTTTTATTAATATTTTATAATATAAAAAGATTAACGAATTATAATATCGATAGTTATATATTAATTATAGATATAGGATCCGGTCTATTATAAGATAGAAAATATCTTAAAAGAAAGGATTTCTATAATAGAGATTATTATAAGAAATATATAAATTAATTTATTAGTAATAAAACTAGAAGATATTAACGATAAATCCCGA